TTTCAGGGCCGGTTGCTACGTCCATCTTTATACAGTCTGTGGTTCTAACCCTTCGATGCAGGAGTATAGATGTGACCAGTGTTGTTGGTGTTGTTGCGTTTCACTGAAACGATGCTCCAGCCTTGTTGAGAAGTTTTTGGGATTAGGAGCTGCTTGTTAGCACAGATTTTACAGAAAACAAAGAAGCTGTCAAAACAGCAGAACTCTTGTTGATTCTGCAGAGATTTTTGAAAAGGCCTGAAATGACGGGATGTAAATCACAGATCTTTCTGGGTGGTAAATCATAGACCACACTGAGCAGAATAGAACAAAAAGACAAAAACACCCCAAAATGTTGTGTGTAAAGGTTCTGAGAGCCTGATGCTCTTTTAGAACTAGGGCTGGGACTTTAACACGTTATTTGTTCTTTAAATAATTTATTGAAATGAATGCATTAAAACATAACCCATTTTATGGCATCTTTCTCAGTTCCCTAATTTCTGGCACACCGGTAACACTGATGCTCACACTCCAGCCACTAGATGGCGCTAATGCACCTAAAGTTTGTTTGCAGCCGTGAAGAAGATGCTCAGGATGCACTGAGCACACTGGAAAGCTTAGTGAATAGACGAAGATGAGGCACATTGCTTGGCTTGTTGGGAGGAACGTAGGAACGATGGCAGTTCGGATCAGAGCCAGCTGTGTGCAAACAGTGCAACAAAGAGTCTGAAGACAAGAGTCTTAAATGTGGATTATAATGGCTCTGATTGGACTGTGAGCTTGCTCTAATCTGTGAATGTAGTAGACAGTAGGGCTGGATATCCGGATATTGGCCCGCCACCAACCAAAGCAGAACTGCGACCACTATCCGAAACTGGCATCGGCAGCCAGGTACCGAGTAGTCCCGCCCACTTTCACCCTTCCATGTATCCGAATTGAAAAACTTTGCTTATTGAGTCAAATATTGTTGATAAAAATGTGATTAATCAGTCAATTAATTACAAAGATTCTAATTAATATGTACATTTTTTAAATTGCGTCCCACCACTTCATAGAACAGCAGCAAAGTCACATGTAGGAAGAACAACCAAGACATTTCCAAACCAATAAAAGCAGCTCAGTGTCACGAGTCATGAAGAACATTACGCTCAGTGTTGGAGCATCGCTGCTTCCCTTCATGGTGACCTTCGTAAGCCCAGTCCTGTTCTGCTCAGATACAAACCAGCTCACCAAACACGTCTTCTGCTCGCAGATGTTTGTGAAACAATCCTGTTCACAGTGAATTCACTGCTAGAAGACCGCCTCTGGTCTAACAGCAGCGCCCTCTAGGGCTCCTTATGTGTACGCCACTTGGTTTATTGCAAGACGTTTCCAGTAGAACCGGTCAGGCTTTAAGTCCGCATCAGTGTGGTGTTATCAGTCAGACTTCACCACAGACTGACATAGATGTGTTTCAGCTTCACTCTGGAGCTCAGCACTGATGGACTCCAGCATGAATAGTCATTAATGAGCTAAACAGGCAGAAGAAAGGCCTCGCGTCCCTCTGAAGGGATTGTTTTATATCACGATGTATCTTTGCTAGTTCAGGTACAGACTTGTGGGAAAAATAACAATTTCACTCATTGTGTTGCTGAACCAAAATCAGCAGCAACACAAACTTTTAAGGTGAAATGTTTCCTTGAATGTTGCTCAACGCTGCATTTACGTTGTTAAATGTCGATAAGAGAACTCTGGCGTTGTGTGTTTACTGGCTCTCCTGTTGCTTAGTGATGACTGACTCTTGTGATGCATTCCAGCCATGCAAACAATGAATGTTCTGCGTCCTCACTTGGAGGAAAACGCGTTCCAGCCTCAGCACAGCCGAGCTGAACACGTGTTTTACTAGCAGCCCCACAGCCCCGGACTCCAGCGTCTGTTTACCAGAATACCAGAAAGCACGCTGGTGTCCATTTTGTTGTCTGTTGCCTAGTAACAGTGTGGCATTGCTGAGTGTATCTAGCGCGGGAAAACCAGGCATTACAATAAAGGATGACATGATGTTGGCAGTGATCAGCTGAAGCTGCTTCAACAGTCAGTTAGCTTCAGGCCTGCTGTATAGTCTGGTTAAAACGTTCCTCTGTGATGAAGCTGATGGTTAAGCTGCTCAGGATCACCTGAACTGTCCCTGTGTGATGCTGCTGATTCCCATGATGCACTGGGCTCCTCTCCGTACATTCTAACCACCATCACATTCACTGACTGTGTTTGTTGTCTGGATCTGGAGCTCCATGTCTCTGGTTATTGTTCTCTCATGTCCATCTGCTGTCCTGTTGTCTCCTCCTCAGCCTGACCAGTGCAGGCAGACGTCTCCCTGAGCCGGGCTCTGGCCGAGGCTACTTCCTGGTAAACAGGAGTTTTTTCTCCCACTGTTGCTCCTTAAAGGAAACGTTCAGCTGGCCTCCCTGTGTGAAGCAGCCTGACACGTGCTGTGAACTGGAGCTCTACGAATAGAACTGAATGTGAACATGCTAAAGAGCTGAAATCGTTCAGTGTGAGACTGACGGCAGTCTGAAGCGTGACCAGAGGCTTCGATAGAACAACAAGCTGCTGTTACCTGACTGAGAATCACAGAGCTTTGAAGCACACATCAACTCACATTTCATTCTGCAGATTTTCTGAAAACTCAATCACAAATTATTTTCAGTCGGCAGTAAAACACAAGCGACATGTTGACTGACCTGCTTTCATCTTCTCTGCTCCTCTTCGGGTGGAACTTCTTAGACAGACTCCTGCAGACAGACAGACGGACGGACGGACGGACAACAGGTGAGCTCATGAGGAGAAGCTGTCACAAGCCTTCAGCTCCAGAAATCAAGAGAAAGACACTTTTGGGCTTCTATCATTATTATTATTATGACAGGCGACAGACAGGTGAGGTACAGGTGAAGCATCACCTGATCTGTTTGGCGTAGCTCAGCTCGATGTCAGCTCGCTCTTTCACAAACTTGGTGTATCTCTCCAGGAAGTCGATTCCCCAGCTGGTGTGTTTCTCCAGATTATCAAACTGATCCTGAAACAGAAGAGAGAGCTCTGAAGTGCGACGCTCACCTGAGACCAGGTGGTCTTCACCTGCAAGTCTACTGAGGGAGGAGCAGCCCAGCAGTTAACCCTAACCCAGCCCAGCCCAGCAGTTCCCCACCTGAGACCAGGTGTTCATGTAAATAATCACAATACCATTAATAACAACAACAGAACAACAACAGCAACATCAATAATAATAATAATAATAATAATAATAATAATATCAATAATAACAACAGCCTTATTGTTATTATCGCGCGCTGCAGCATCATGGAGGACGCAGGGCGCGAGCTGCTGTCGTCACTCACCGTGTTGCTATGGCAGAGCGGACAGAAGCACGAGGGCCTCACACACACACACACACACACACACACAGTCGGTTACCGGCAGGTTAGCGCTCACAGCTGCTGGTTACCGGCCACCGGTCCGGTGTCCAGGTGTGAACAGGTGCACGTACCCACAGCTCGGTGCCCCAGTTGCAGCTCATGGCTCCGCTCTGCTCCTCGCGCTGCTCCGCCTCTCGGTACCGAAGATCACCGCGAGCTGCTGCTGCCCGCCGCGCGCATTCTCAACGCCCCACCGTCCACCTGTCCGTCTCACCGTCCACCTGTCCGTCCGTCCGAGTCTCTGTCTGCAGCGGCAAGCGCGAAGGACGCGGTCACGCGCGGCGCGTCTCCCCGGAGGACCCTTTGTCATCAGTGATGCTGAGAATGTGTGTACTGCGCAGACTCGGTAGCAGCCCCGCCCTGCTGTCACGCATCAGTAACTGTCCTGTCTGCAGTCTCTCTCTCTCTCTCTCTCTCTCTCTCTCTCTCTCTCTCTCTCTCTCTCTCT